ACAGTAATTGTGAATCTTGGAAGAAGGTTTGAAAAAGTTTATTGTTCTGACCAACGTTTATTTACATTCTTATCTTTCTTTTTCAGACGGCACTGAAGAGACGAGGAAGCAGAGAAGTCTTTAAAGACAAGAAATCCTCAAGTCAGGTACACAAATATGCTCTTCCTTATATTTTACTTCAGTATGATAAATGTTTATCATGAACACCAAAAAACACTATAAAGCAATTTTTATTGTCAAAAGAAGCTGATTGATTAATGCCATTAACCCCATTATTTGGAGAGAAAAATAAGCATTCTAGGTTTTAGTCAAACTTATTTTTAATGCTTAGAAAAAGTACAACAAAATATAATCGTTTTAACATCTAAAACTCATAGTCTTGTAGCCTTCCTTCCTAATGTCTTACACGTCATTTCAACCCAAATTCAATTACAATCTTACTTTTTGTTTTTGACTTGACGGCTAATCCACCTAAAAAAAAATTGTCTGCAACAGCCATTTTTACAGATATTGAGGTAAAAGTAGCTGTGGTACCAGCTGAGAGTCATCTTCATCACAAACTCTGAGCACTTACAGATCTTTGTTTAAACCTTTGGCATGAAAGATGGTGACCGCTCTGCCTTTCTCTTAATAAATGCTAGTTTTCTGTTGTAAGCTACATCAGTGCGACAACTCCCAAGACATAGAAAATGATTCACAAAACAGTTTCTCTTTCGATTCCTTACAGTGGAGTCATATTGACTTCCTATAGATTTATACTGAATAACATGTTTTGTGTCCGTGGCTGGTAGGAGGACAGTGCAGACCTCCGGTGCCAGCTCCAGTTTTCTAAAGAGGAGTCGGGTCTGATGAGGAAGAAGATGGCAAAGCTGGGTCGGGAGAAGGACGAACTTGAGCAGGAGCTACAGAAGTACAAGTCCATTCACGGGGACATCGACAGCCCCCTTCCTCTGGTGGAGTGCTCCGGTGGGGGCCCTCATACCACACGCGAGGCTGAGCTGCGGCTTCGCCTGAAGCTGGTGGAGGAGGAGGCCAACATTCTTGGAAGAAAGATCGTGGAGCTGGAAGTGGAGAACCGCAGCTTACGAGCTGAAAACGAAGATATTCGCAGTCAGTATGAAAAAGACTGTTTTGGGCGGGAGCCTTTCTCCAGCATGCCCTCGTCGCCGTACGGCGGCGATCCGCTGGAGTCGGCCAACGAGCTGCGGCGCCACCTCCAGTTCGTTGAAGAGGAGGCAGAGCTGCTGCGCCGATCCATCTCAGAGATCGAGGACCACAACAGGCAGCTAACGTCTGAACTCAATCGCTTTAAGTTTGGCCCCAGCAGCTGCAGCTCTGTTCCTGCTGGTGAGGAGGCCACTGATGGGATGTTGTTTAAACCTGGCAACGGGGGGAGCGGTAATGGCTCCGGTAGTGGGATATTGATGGAAGAGCTGAAGTCGGCCCGGATGCAGATCAATGAGCTGAGTGGAAAAGTAATGAAGCTGCAGTACGAGAACCGGGTCCTCGTGTCCAACGTTCAGCGCAACGATCTGGCCGCGCACCTCGGCCTTCGCACCGGCAGCCCTCGAGACAGTGACGCAGAGAGCGAAGTGGGCCGGAGAGAAGCCGCCGAGGAGGAGGAGGCAGGGCGACTTCTTATTCTACAGCCAAAACGGGAGGGCCCCATCGGTGGGGAGAGTGACTCCGAAGACCTGTTTGAGAAAACAGGAACCACCTCAGGGTTAGGAAGCATCAAACCCATGGATGGAAGCGACCTCAGTGCCACTGAAGTAGCCAATCGCAGGAGGGAAGAGCGGGAGTCGTTCGCTAACGTGAAGCGAGAGGCCGACAGGCTCGGGAAGTCAGTGGACCGTCTGATCACAGACACGGACAGCCTGATCTTTGAGGGTCAGCTGCTGGTGACGACAGGGGAGAGTCTGGAAAGTGGGGCGACGTCTGGACCCAAACCAGATACTCAGGTTCTGGACACCATCAACACTCGCATGAAAGCCTTCCGGACCGAGCTGCACATTTTCATGGAAAAACTGGACCACGTAGGAGACGGGCTCAGAGAAAGGACAGACGATCTTTCACCCATGCCGAACCTCACAGAGTCCAGCAGCTTCTTGTCTACAGTCACCTCCATGTCCCGCGACTCCCCTATCGGCACCTTCGGAAGAGATCTGATCACAGACTTCCAGGTGAGTTCATTAGACACAGGTCTGTTTATCCTCACATGATTGTGTAAGTTTATATTACTTGCCCTGTGCTGCCATTTTGAGGGACATAAGTCATGTCAACAATGCAAGAAAACGCCTAAAGGGTGTTCCCTTTGCTCTTGTGACAGCAGGTATTCAACTTAACACGTAAATAGTAAACAAGCCCAAAGTTTCTACATATTTTCATTTGCTCTAAAGCAGCCAGAGAGCAAGAAGCAGTGGGCAAATACCTGCAGGATTAAAGAGATAAAGGCAGGACAGAAGTTGCATTGGGCTCTGTCTTAAGGATAAGGTAACGACTGATCAAAAAAGTATGTTCATTAGTTCATGTCAAAAAACTTTTAGCAGTGTACCCTGAGCTAGTTGGCATTTTATTGCTGGATGGGTCAGCTAATCTGTTTATTGGCCACTCTGGACATAGTAAAGCCTATAAGGCTGGGTTCAGCCAGGCCACAGTTCTGCCGGGTTTTAGAACCAGTTTTTATAGTTTTATTACGTTAGATATTCGGTCACCAACTACTTTTAGCACTTTTTTATATTTAAATATAACATCTGACCTGGTGCTACTATTAAATAGATAGATGTCTCCTTCTGGTCATTCACTGGGAATGTTGTTCCATGCTGTTGCTGGCAAAACTTCGATTTCTGCATAAACCTTAACGTTTAGAGGTTGTAGTTATCTGTGTTTACATGAGTTAGTCCCTCAAAATGGCCTCCACTAGCTGAGACGGGTGATCTTTAGACAGATTTATTCTTCTATCTTTGTTACTTTCCTTTCTGTACTGAAAGGTGACATATTTAACTTTTGGCTAAATTAAATGGTCCCACTATTTAACTCACCAGTTTAAACAAAATTAAATTATCCCTAACTTTACCTAAGTAGTAGCAGAATCCACATAAACAGCAAACCATGGTTTAAAAATCTAGTGATTGCAAATATGAGCATCTATTTAGATTTAAATTAAATGTCCCTAAGTGTTCAGTCATTAGTGGGTCATTTAAGGCTAAATAAACTCAGCGGGAGCCTCAATCAGGAGTGGGTACAATAAAATTAATCTCTAATTAGAGACCAGGGCAACACTGAGCAGCTTAAGCACGTTCTGCACAGCCATGCCTGTCAATAGGAATCTTATCCCAAGTTGCAGGAGAAGGTTGCCTAATGAATAGGTCTGGATTTTTTCAAGTCAGACTTCAGTTAATATAATACTGATGTGCATGCTGAGAGAGTTGAAATCATTGAACCTTGTTGCAATAATTGAAAAGCTAAAGGGCATTCCTGTGAACAATTTAGATTCAACACTTGACTTATCGTCGGAGTGAATTTGTGGTTTACGTTTTGTTCCACCTAAGGCAGATTGAGAAAATTACCTCCCCCTGTGGTAATCACAGCGTTGAATTAATGACTCTGCATGAGAACAGCTACGACACTGTTGACAAGATTGCAACACCGCTTCTGTTTGGTTAGAGGGATTTAACAAACATTAGAGTTTAAGGCACTGAGGCATTAAAGCTCAGGAGTCGATTCTGCTGCAACTATTTATATTGCCTCATCTTAATGTCCAGCATTAATCTGATGGTGTAAACAACACTGCTAAAATCCTGACACTAAGTGCATTTTAGGCTTCAATAAATGCAACATTTAGCTGATATCTTAAGCACAAATGTTGCTGAAGCCTTGCATTAAAATATTTTATGAATACATTTTTGTAGCAAATGATTATTGTGGATTTTATTCTTTCTTTCAGTTCGGGTTGACATGTTTGTCTGTTAAGATTACCCCACAGTCTATTATGTCAACTTGTTGCCAAAGTTTATTTGATATGATCAAATTAGGTAAATTATAAAACGTTAAATGATTTGTTGTCCAATGAAAGGCTTCTGCTAGATAGGAAAAATGTATTGACAGTTTGACAGAACAGTTGTTACTAGGTAAATTACCACAAATTGTTAGTTAGCTAGTGACAAATTTTACTAGCTAACCTTTTATTTAACACCTGTTAAAATTTGTTAGCTAGTAAAAAGAAATACTAGCTAACCTTTCACGAGCTACTAAACTTTATCTAGAGACAAATTTTACTAGCTGCAGTATCCTTTTACCACCTGTAAAAAATTATCTCATGACAAATTTTACTAGCTAACCTTTTATTTAACACCTGTTAAAATTTGTTAGGTAGTAAAAAAAATTACTAGCTAACCTTTCACGAGCTACTAAAGGTTAGCTAGAGACAAATTTTACTAGCTACAGTATCCTTTTACCACCTTTAAAAAATTATCTCGTGACAAATTTTACTAGCTAACCTTTTATTTAACACCTGTTAAAATTTGTTAGCTAGTTTTTACTAGCTAACCTTTCACGAGCTACTAAACTTAATTATCTAGAGACAACTTTTACTAGCTATCCTTTTACCACCTGTAAAAAAAAAATAGCTAGTAACTTTTTTACTAGCTAACCTATTACTAGCTGGAACAATTTGTTAGCTAGTGACAAGTTTTAAACATCTAACTTGTTGCTATCTAGTACAAATTGCTAGCTAGCAGCAATTTGTTGCTAGATACTATAAACTGTTAGCTAGTATCAATTTTTACTAGTGAACATTTTGCTAGCTAGTAGAATTAGCTAGCTAGTAACAAAGTGCTTTTTAACTAAATGAACTGATTTTTACAATCAACACGTTTTTACAATTATGTCATGCAGGTGTTATGTTTATTAAGATGCACTTAACCGAACAGTAATAAGGGAGTGGGAACAGCACCTGCATCATTGTAAAACAAGTTATAGGCTTTTGAAAGTTTAAGGAACAACACTCGTTTTTATTATCTGTACACTGAAAACATTTGGAGTTTTACATAAAAATAAACAAAAGATCAGCTACCAAACAAGTTCAAAACTGCCGAATTTCTTCCGAGTTTCCTTGGGTTTGAACTGTAAATAGTGTTATAACAGATCTAAACTAAAACCTTCCAAGAGAAGTGGGCAGTGTGACTTTTTGGTAGTGGCCCACTTTTGTAAGAAAGGTTCAAGTCCACCCAGCTCTACCACACTGGCACCACCACCACTCCTCCCCAGTCTCACTGCCACCATCATCGCTTTCTGCTGCCACCGTCCTCACATCTGCATCTCCATGCACATCCTCATAGCCAGCAGCCCCGCCTGTCTGCCTCCCTGCGCTCAGTGTCTGCGGCTTCCCTGCTTCGTGTCACCCGGGGCCGAGGTGCTTGGTGTGAATGGAGTAAGTACTGAAAGTGTTGCAGCAGCTAATTAACTTTTTCTGACCCCTGTGAATACGTGCATGACGAAGCTGAGTATTTTCCTTTTTAAAACTCTGCAACAGCACCGTGTTTTATGGCACCTAAATCGCTTGTTTATGTTTCTACATGTCACGTACAGACCTGCATGGGATTGATGACTCCATGGTGTTTCCAAGGAGATGAACAATAAAAATGTAAAAATGAACCAAAAGAACCAAAAGAAAAAGAGAGTAACTGAGTTGCATAGAGCTGAATGAGTTGCCTGTGGAAGAATGTCACTGGCTGACATCCTGCTTTCTGTTCTTGTTTTACTACAGCTTTGTGAAAATGACAAATATGCCGGTAGTTAATCGTCCCAGGGTCCAGCCCAGGTTCATTATCTCTGCGCTGCCTGATCAAGCAAACATTCTGGGTTTTTTTTTTTGTTGTTTTCTAATTACCCATATAAGAAATAAAACAGCTTTTTAAACACTCCATACTTCATAGATGTGAAGAAATCTGCTCCTGCTCACATACTTTGTTCTTTTGAACATGTACATTTTATCCTCGTTGAGAAACTGCAGCGCAAAACTCAAAGGAAGCGCCATCCGACAGGTGCCAGAATGGATTTCTTCCCACCCGGGGATGGACCCGTTTGGTCCCTGAACAGATTTTTCATTCCTTACCCCTACCAAACATTTTTGTTACACAGATTAAGACAGTATACTGTACACCGTTCAACAAAGTTCAATCAGGTCATCCTGACGGTTTCTTTTTTTGTTGTTGAGATGTTTCGTCCTTCATCCAAAGAACTTCATCAGTCCAAGGAGCCACAAACAAACTCAGTCACACAATCAGCACACTCCCACAGTGGATCAATCAGTTTACTGTTAATAAGATGGGTTCTGGGGGCTGCCCTCTCCCCCGTCGACTCCTTTGAGGCAGCTATAGCCAAAGTTGTTCAAAACATCAAAGCTCATGCTCAATAATCCAGGTTAAAAATCCAACAAAGTTCAGTCAGTTCATCTGGACAGTTTCTTTCTTTTTTTTGTTGAATTGTTTTGTCCTTCATTCAGATGACTTCATCATTCCAGGGCCTGCCCTTTCCTACACCCTCAGGGGGAGAGGGTGGGCCCAGAAACCATCTTATCACTAACAAACTGGGTTTTTTTTTCCCACTGTGGGATTGTGCTGCTTGTGGGACTCAATTTGTTTGTGGCTCCTCAGATTGATGAAGTCCTTTGGATGAAGGACGAAACATCTCAGCTAAAAAAGGAACCATCCAGATGACCTGATTGAACTTTGTTGTGCACAATAATGAGTAAAAGTTGGGAGCATGTCTCTACACTGCCCAGCCAAAGTGTATTCCCTCCTGGCCAGGACAGCCCAAAAGAACCACCTGTGTCTCCAGGCGCAATAATTGTACTCTCTCGTTCCATTCTTTGCCGTTTGGCTAAGTTTTTCTGGAACAGTTGTAACAATGACCGTATTTTCTAACAGCCTCGAGTCGACCATCTGCTAAAAAGGTTAATGCAAAACGACATCATTGCGGTTCACACGCCCAGAACAAAGTTCTGACCTAGTGCACAATAGTTGTTGGAAACCCTTGCGAGAAAAACTTTTGCCTGGTTCATGTGTCGAGAATGAGTTCTCGAAGCTCCTAGGTGAATAAAATTATGTAATTTTCGTCACAGTGAGAGCAGATTTCTTGACTTCTTGTGGAGTATGAATCGAGCCTAATAGACCGAAGCTGTCTCCATACGCACGTGTTTCTGCTCTGCTCTTCTTGTAGGACTCACCGGTTGGTCTGGGCCAAGCTGGGTGGTTCAGTCACCGTTCCTTGCATAAGTTCAAAACAAAGATTTTGAGAATGGTTGGCGAGATTAAATAAAAAAAAAACAAAATAAAATAAACTTTATCCCTCTAACTGTAAAAAAAACAGAAGAGCAAAAGTGCAGCAGTAAAAATGTTTAGCTCAAATAAAAATTTAATGAATGTATCCATTTAAGTGCTTCTAGCAAAGGAACATTTGTACTTTTTACCCTTTGATGGTAAAAACAACTAAGATGCTTGTTCTGTATTTTATGTTAGTGATATAGCATCGTTTTAAATATATAAATTTAAAGTAGCGCTTGAGGTGTGAACCATTGTAAAAATTAATGTTGTTTATTATTATTTTTTCCACCTCATGAAGGCCATGAAAATTACGTTTTTGTTCATTCTTGCAACTACAAAAATTGGTCCTGAAAACAACTTTTTTAATGAGATATTTTTAGTAAATATTGCCCTTTTTTTGCACATATTTGTGTTTGAGTTTAACAGTTCATTCATTCCTGTAAAAAAAACTAATATTTTTTATTTTAAATTTTCTAAAATTCTCTTTTTCCTCTTTTGAAACTTGTTTTAAATAAAAAGGTTGAGTGCATGACTAGTCATTTTTACATACATGTATTTTAATTATGCCCTTTACGAAAGTGTCAATAAAATTGGAAGAAAATTTTGCTATAAAAATCCGTTACTGATTTTATTCCCTTATTTTTCTTCTCATCTTTTAGATATAAAATACCTCACCTAAAACAAAAAGAATGTTTACATAGTTTAAAATCCTCATTGTGGAATTAATGTTATTCACAGATTTTTTTTATATCTTTAATTTTAATCACACAACAAAATTAGATATTTCACTGCTGTTTTGCATTAAGAACACTTAGTTCCTGATAGACAACCTAAACTTGTAATTTTGTCGATCACAAAACAATAAAATATTAAATACAACTTTGCTCTTCCAGTTAGTGAAGTAATTTTTATTTTCCTTGATGAATGCTTTTTGATTTATACAGTGACTTGAGTTTATTTATATAGTTTTGATTCACAACAAAATCCAAAACATGTTCAAGTTATATTAATTTATGTCTCATCCAATACAATGTACTCACGACTCAGTCTGGCACAGATTTTAATTCAAACGATCCAATTTAATTCATTGCATCTAATTATAAAACAATTCAGTATGATCAAAATAGGTAAATTATTAAATGTTAAATCATACAAGTACAAGCAGTCTAATGAAAGGCATCTGTTAGGTAGTGAAATTGTTTTTGTTAAGAACACGTGTTACTAGTTAACTAATATCTACTAATATCTTACCTAGACTAGTGACAGTGTTTACAAGCTCACTGGTTTCCAGCTTGTACAGATTGATACATTTTTTTTACTAGCTAACATTTTGCTAGCTACTTCAAACTGTTAGCTAGTGAAAATTTTCGCTAGCTAACTTATTGTTTTTATAAATTGTAAGCTAGTGGCAATGTTTGCTGCTAACTTACTGCTAGCTTATAAAATGTGTTAACTAATGACTGTACTAGCTAACTTGTTGTTTTATTATAAATCTAGTGACAATTTTTACTGGCTAACTCATTGCTGTCTAGTACTTGTTGCAAGCTAGTGACAATTTATTGCTCACTAGTAAGAATTATTAACTAGTGACAATTCTTACGAGCTCATTTGTTGCTAGCTAGTAGAAACGTTTTCCTGTTGACAGTTTCACTAGCTAACGGGCTAGCTGGTACAAATGATTGCTAATAACAATTTTTGCTAAGTTAGCTAGCTAACAAAAAATTTGTTGCTAATTTTTTTTCATATTAGCAGTTAAAAAGTATGCACCTAGCATGTTCCTGCTTCAAACCTATAGTTTAATCCCTTAGTTTATTTATATTGTAAACATTCTTCTATCAAATCTGCATCACGCTGACTCGAGATGCGATCGTCTTTAATTTATTGCTTCTGAAGCACACATGGCTGTGCACTAGCATGTGTTAACTCTTTAGCGTGCTAGCCCTCGCTCTGCAGTTTTCCGTGGTATTTCTCAGTTGTTGGTTTGGACTCATGTATCCCTCATTGCATGCGCTTCATAACAAGTGTTTTTGCATTCTTTTCCCCCCCGGTTCCCTCTCTTTGTTCCTTCTTTGTGTTCCTACCAGATGTTTCAGCCCATTATTTTGTTCATCCTCATTCTCGTTCTTTTCTCATCTCTCTCTTACGCCGTCATCTTTAAGTTGGTCTTTCTCTTTGCGCTTTTCTTCATACTCTAGTCAGATCGTTACTTCCCCCGTCATATAGCCCGTTAGATGATTTCCCTCCTCCTCTGCTTTTTTAAACCCATTTTATGATTTATTTTTGTTTTTCGCCCACCTGCTTATTTTCCTTGTCCCTTTTACCTCGTTTGGTGTCTTCTGTCTATTTTGTTCACAATCCACCTTACACATGTTCCCCCCAACATCACCACCACCATTTGTACTTGTTGCCCACCCTTCTACTCCTTTACACTCTCCTCCCAATACCTCCTTCCCCACCCTTCCCTCCCCATGTCACTCACAGTCCATTCAGAGGGATGAGCTGGAGTGGCGACTAGGACAGGAGCGAGGTGTGGAGCTCCAGAGCCAGACCCATGGTGGGGGCCAGGCCCAGAGCAGGGGAGCCACGGGACTCACTGTGTACCACAGGCCCCTGGCTTTAAGAATAGAGGTCAGTGCCTCCTCCCTCCTTCAACTGCCCTTCAACACGGGTATGGGCCCACTGCCGAAATCTAAAACATGGATCTGGACAGGGATGGTGTTTTCATTTCATTGGCCTTTTTACCAAAATATTAGGCCTAAACTGTGGTTGAGATAAGGATGCATCTCTGCAGATAATGGACTCTCCAAAGAACAACTCCAAAAATAAATGAAAAAAGTGTGAAACGTTGGTGAACTTCCCATGTCGACGGTTCACATCCAGCTGTGCATTTTCTTTAATTACTGTTCTGTATACCATCTGTTTAAATAGCACTTACCGGTAGTTTTGAGAAAAGTAACCATAAAATGAAATGATTTACAATTAATAGTTGATGGTTTTCAGACTTTATGGATACATTTTATTTGGACTCTTTGGTTCTCTACATTACAGTTTTAAAGCATGAACTGATTCATTCAAACATGACATGGGCTCAAACCTGCAGTCCTCGGATTAAAAATATATATATATGCGGCACTGACCACTAAGCTACCACGGCTAGTAAAGGCTAGTTAAAAGCTTTACATTACAAAGGCTAGCTAGAAGTATTTAAAGCCTAGCTAAAAATATTAAAAAGCTAACTAAAGTGTCAAACAGCTAGCTGATGGCACCAAACGCCTAGCTAAATGTACCTAAAGGCTAGTTAAAAGTATCTAAAGGCTAATGCAAAGTGAAACATTGTAAAATACTAGCTAGAAGTATTTAAATAATTAAATAATAAATAAAGGTTGATTGATTGATTTAAAGTCTAGATAAACATATTAAAAGGCTAGCTAAAAGCTAAACATTGTAAAATGCAAGCTAAATGTGTTTAAAAAATCCAGCTAAATTATCTTATATTTGATTTATGGTTAGCTAAAATAGAACAATTGGGCAACGATAAATAGTGCAAAAATGTATGAGAAAAACAAAAACAATAGAGTAAAAGCTTAGTCAGCAAGTACATATCTAACTGTATAAGTATGGGACACATATTTAAACTATTTACAGTAAATTAGTATTATTCAGTATTTTCACATGTAATTGAATAATGTTATGTAGCTCTGAAGTTGTTAGACGGAAATCAGAGTTCTGGAGTTGTTATTTGGTGTTGACCAAAGTTGCTCTGCAGTACAGCAACTACTAACATAAACATTTGTGAGTCAAGCAACTTACTTTATAGATTATGTATTGGAGATTATTGAGATTAAAAAAATGTGAAAAATATTTCATCTGATGCAATAGAACTGTGTGATGTGTTTCTGAGCCGTGTGAATTTGATCCCGCTGATGTTTAAATTTCAGGAGCTCCGGTTGGTTTTTATCAGGAAGGTGGCTCAGTCCAGCATGTCTAGTGAAACTCCAGCAACTGTCACTTTTCTGACGCACACAGTTTCACTTCATTCACATTTTCTATTTTTTCTCTAAAATTCACTCCCATAACTATGAATATTTCATTTTAATTTTCATTTGATTTCACGTTTTCTTATTCCGTTTGACTAAATCAAAGTCCCCAGACAGCACAAGGGGATAGTTCAGTTCTTTGAATTGGGGTTTGCAGGAAATGTTATTAACAATTATTATCTTACCTGTTTTAGATGGCTTATTCTGGCCAAGAGGGACCAATACAAATGCTGCCATCTTACGTGATTTATTTTATAAACCTTTACAGAATTGCCTGTTTTGCATTGTCTAACTATTCCTGCAGAAATATTTAAATATCATTACCTGACGTGCTGCGGGCTGCACTGGAGAGGCTACAGCTAGCTGCTCCTGCTCTTTGTGCATACAAATAACCATAGAATAATATGTAAATTGTGTCATCATAAAATTAATGATGATGTAAAGGTTTTAAAAGCGAAAAATTGTAAATTTTTGAGACCACAGTTGTTTTATAGAGCCATTCTCTGCTGCGTAAAAGTGTTATGATCCCTGACAAGCTCCCAAATATGCTATCACAAGCTTCTGGGAAAAAAGCCAAATAAGTTATGGATAGACCTAAACCTCAACTATGTTATGATCCTGGACAACCCCCCAAATATGTCAGCACAAGTTTAGGGGAAACAAAAGCCAAATAAGTTATGGATTGTGCAAACCCCCAAATATTTTATGATCCCGGACGAGCCCCCAAATAGTGACTCACAAGGCACAGAACATATGGAGTCCAGATGATTGTAACATTTCAAATATATATTTTATTAAACACAATCATCTGAACAGTAAGGGAGTTGGGAACCCCAGGCAAAAATGAACAAAAAAAGGGAGAAACCTCAAACTAGCCAGTAGTTGACCGTCAGATTCTGGAGGTTCTCCTAAGCCTGTTGTCCAGGAACTAACCCTACAACCAAACAAGGACTGCCAGTAATTCCCAGATCCAGCTTACAAACATTAGTAAAAAGGGACAATACAAGGTAAACGTATAAGGGAAGGAGTGGGAGCAAGCTTGGAGATGGAGAGACCACCAGATATCAGACCAATGCGCCCACCCCCCTCCTTTGCTTGTCAAGCAGGCGAAGCATGTTTCTTTTAAAGTCCCACAGTCCAATCAGAACTGAAAAGAGAGGACACATTAATCAAACTCACATGCAATCACAAATGGTGACATAAGGGCACGTAGCCAAAAAAAAAAAAAAAGGCTCTTTTGGTAAAATAATAATAATAATATTTTTTTATACTGATCAGTAGTAATATAGCACATTTCTGCTTGCCACTTCCTGTATGTTTTGGGGGCACTAAATGCTGAACTCACCGTGGTGTTACAGGTGTGTTTTCAGCTCATGGCGTTTCAAAAAGCTTTCTGCAGCAGGTTAGAAATTGATTGTTTCTAACTCTTCCAGAAAGCCTTCCTTGAACAGATCTGAAATGTCACCTTGAGTTTGATTCACTGATGAAAAAAATGAACCAGAAAAATCAGAAATACCTCATTCCTTGGTCATATGTTTTGATCTGCAGTAAGACATGAAGCAGCAGCTCTGTGCAGCTGTGCGCTACGTTATGGCTCGTGGGGCGTTCACGGTCAGTCGGGACACCAGATGAGAATCTGCACGCAGTCCCACCTGCAAGGATGCTGGCTGGCTGTGGTCCAAGACTATCAGCTTCTGTGATATTTAAAAAGACAGGCAGCTGCTTCATAAGACATTTTTAAAACGCACAAAGACGTGAATCATTTAGTGACTCAGCTGTTTAGAACAATAAAGCAGCGTAATCACTGCCTCGTGCTTGTGTTCGTACAGAGACTGCCAGCTGTTGTGTAACTTGCGTGTGGCACATCGCTGCTGGAGATGCCGTTATAACACATTCGTGTGGCGTTTCGTCCATCCCCGGGCTCTCTGCCGCGGCTTAATCTGAGGGGTGAAGTGAATGAAAGCAGTTTGGATGTGAGGGAGGATTAGCTTTGCATCGTCAGCGTATGATTTGCATTTGACATTGGGCCGACAGAGAGGTGATCCTGGGTCGGGACACGCCGGACAGCTCAACTTACTGTCAGAGGAGGGAACCGAAGAGGCGACAGACAGAGGGACTAAAATCCCATCATACACCACTGCAGCTCATAAATGTTTCTGACTGCACCTTGGGGAGATTGTTTTTTTTTTTTTTAAACAAGACAAATCACGTCCAGATTCATAAATGTCTAACTTTAGACTAAAGCAAAGCTGAGATTATCCTGCTGTGGCTTCTAAGATTGTTTGTCTTGTCAGAGTTCTGCTCTGCCTCCATCTTAAACAAGATAAGATTATAGTTCCACTCCTGAACTCACTCCTTCATGAAGCTGACAAAGCCTGCACGGCTTTTTGATTTACGGTGGATAACAAGATGAAAACGCTCACCTGAAAACACCTGAAAGTCTAAATACTACAAAAAGCCAGCATGTGTTAACACGAGTCATGAACTGATTTAGTAAACAGTTGTTTTTGGGGGCGGTGCTGTTGTGGTTTTAGCACCGAGACCCGGCTGGTTCTGATGTGCAGTTCTGTCTGGATCATGAGCGAAGCAGCAGAGCGGCCGCAGACGAGCGGGAGGCCGTCATCACTTTACCTCAGGTACCAAATAACTCAATGTCAAACTGAAATTTGGACTTCGAGGACCATTAATGAGAGGAAATAATGCTTTAGTGCATGTTTTGCAAAAATCAGTCATTTATAAACCTGAGTCTTGTTCTTTTATAAATATTAAAGTTCTGCCACCTTGGAGATAAACAAAAAAACTAAGACGATACGCAATATTTCTTTTATTCTTGTAACTGTGTTTCAATGATCAAAATTAGGTACTTTACCTATTTGATGAAAGACGTAAAAGACAAAACACAGTATGGCTAATTTTTGTCAAACTGATGAAACTCAGTTGTACTAGGGGTGCAGTGGTTACAGCTGTTGCCTCACAGCCTGAAGGTCGCAGGTTTGCCTCCCACTTTGGGACTTTCTGTGTGGAGTTTGCATATTTTTCTCTGGATGCTCAGATTTCCTCCCACAGACCAAACACATGCATCTTAGGCTGATTGATAACTGAATGGTTCTGCCTCGTTAGTTGCTACGCGTCTCCGTGGTGGACTCTGTGGCGACATGTCCAAGCTGCCCCCTCTCACAGACTGCTGGACATGGACGCCATCTTCCTGGGACCAGAAGAACGATTAAAGAAAATGGATAAACCACATGTTTGTTTTCAGCAGGAGGACCAGCGTTTGCATCTGGAGGCGCAGCACGAAGGTCTGGAGCTCCAGGGCCTTCAGAGTCATGAGGTCCTCTGGTCTCAGGAGAGGGCTGTGCTGCAACAAGAGGTGCGCCTGTTCAGACGGAACACCATCATCTTCTACATGAAGCTCAGGGGGATCCTTCTGCGCTGGAGGCTCGGCCGCAGGGACGATTCAGGAGACGAGACCTTTCCTCCGGAGGTGAGGTTGCGTCTCCTCTCAGTCTTCTGGAGCACCAGATTCAGTGGATAGTAAAATTATGTGGATGGTATTATGACTACATTCTTATGATTGGAATAATGCCTTTTGCATCATTTTCTCTTCTAACTACAAACCCTGGAGGTTACCTGAGTTGAGGTGAAACTAATCATTTATATAAAGAAGCAGCTACATGTGCTTACAACGACATAAAGGCTTGACCCGCTGGGCTCGCGTTTCCCTGCTGGCTCAGTAGAATGTGAGACAGGACCTTACACACTGTAGAACCAAAACATTAAGACCAGCAGCTCCTTATGTACCATTTAAAACAGTTTTCGGGCCAGTAAAGGAGCTCTGTCACATCTGACATGAGCTGCACATCCATTAGGACTTGTTGGAGTGTATTTCCTGACAGACGGGTGCTGTTTGTCCCCCGTCATGGTGCGAAGAGCATAACTAGTAATACCTTTTGTCCATCCTGTTAACTGGATAACCTAAATAAATATGCAACTGGACAGCTTGCATTTTGGTGTGTGGCTGCTTCTGGGTGTAAAAAATGTCACTTTTGAATATTTTGTTACCACGTCAAAATCCAAGATGGCCACCACCAAATATATATATGCAAACTGGCCGACCTGATTATCTGAGGAAACTATGCTCTCAAGTATTTATATTGCTTTAATATATAGTTTCCTCAAATGATTGGAGTGGCCCTTGGTGTTGTGAAAGATTAATCTATGGTGGTCAAGGCCACCATTGGCCACCCTGTGGCTCCGCCACTGCACGTGATGGTGGATAAAATTGCTCTCTCCACTCTCCAGGATCCGTCTATCTGCGCTGCCTCGGACAAGAAAAAAAAACAACTACCTCTTCTACACAGCGTAACTCCAACCCACTTCAACGTTTTGCACCAAAAACATTGTTTACCTGCATTACCTGTTCAATTCCAGCCCAGAAAAACACTAATATCTAAAACTACAAACATTCTCTTTTTAAATCTCAGCGCTGGAGGACATCGGTGTACAACTTGTTCCTCTTGAGGTCACTGCGGGGGGGTTCTCCACACTGCCGACTGCTGAAGATGCGTTTCTGCGCTGTGGCTCAAATCGTCCACAGAGCTCCTTCTGTTTATGTTTTCTTTGCATCCTGGGATAATTCATCTTGATTTATCATCTCATTCCCTCCATATCCTGTTGAGAAATGTAATTTGTGCTGACAGATGGTTCAGCGGCGAGGAGCCAAGCCCCATCCTTGACTCAAAGTCGAGTTTCTCGTTAAATCTGTTGGTTCAGGGGTCTTTAACCTGCAGCTCTGGACCCACAGGCGGTCCAGCGGGTCCATCTGCAGCCGCTCTTTGAAGCTTTGTCCAACAAGCAGGACATAAACAAAAATAAAATACACTTTAAGCATTTTCCTTTCAATTTAATGACAATTTGTGAATGAATTCTTGTCGGACTACACTTCTATGCTGATGATCGCCAGATTTCAGTGCATGGATCAGAGCTCGGTTGATCACGGCTGTTTCTTCTCTTGAGAAGTTGGAGGGCTTTCCTGAGCTGGGAACGACGGCGGAGCAGACGGAGGTGGAGTCTGAGCGAGACGACCGGCTGCGTTTACCACAAACTGCAGCGGACGCCCCTGAAATCGGACCCAACGTGCCCCCGCTGTCCCCCGATCGACCCCTGCAGCATCAGAGACAGGTGCCCGACTGGTTACAGCCGCCGCACACCCGCTTTACACGTCACTGTGCCGATGTGTTGCAACATTCATACAAATTTAAAACTGTTACTAAAATAATCTGCGCACGACAAGCGGAGCTTTTTTACGTCCATCAAACTGGTTCGATGAAAAGCTGTTTTTGTAACTGGGATGTGAAACCAGAAAAAAAAACAAATCCAAGTTGAAACACAAAATAAATCATTCAATTCAGCTCACATTTAAAACAAACGTCCCGCGTTAAAATCGGGAGGATTTAGTGTGAATTCTGAACGTTCTGACCGTGGCAAGTTAGTTTTTTTATTTGATATTATTAAGACACCCTAAATATAAAAACAGGCTACAAACACAAATATTACATAATTAATAACACAAATCACCCACTGCCTTACATGCCAGAGTTTTAAGCTACGCTCATGTGGTGAAAAATACTGTAAGAGTAGCCATTTTGTTCAAACTATAAAAATATCGTTACGAGTGAGCTCAATATTTTGCTAACAGACAGAGTTGACTACATAAAAGGTATGGCAAAATTTTAGACTAAGCTCATGTGCAGTTTGTTAGTTCTCAGGAAATCTGTTGACAGTGACTCTCAGCTACTAACACACCAAAGTTTATATCAATATCTGTAAAACTGACCACGTTATAGCCATCGTTGTGTTGTTAAAGTTCATTTGGAAGTGACGGCCATCTTAAATGGGGCCGACTCCAGAAGTTATTCATTTGTCGACGTACATCCAAATATTACATTCTGCAAGTTTCATTAAAATCCGTTCAGTGGTTCTTGTGATATTTTGCTAACAGACAGATACAGGAAACACTGTGGTTGTATGGTTTTTTTTATGCTCCTGTTCATTTTGCACAGAGGAATTTTTGGCACGGTGCCGATGTGGACCCATTTAACTGGTTCGAATCAGTAATTTTATGATTCTAAGGACGCCGTCATCCCTTTAGTTTGAGTCAGGTGCAGTTTTCGTTGAGATCAGGTCAGTCGACCACTTCTGTCGAGTTAAACCAGCCGTTTGGACCGGGTGCATTATTTAGCATCTCTAAGTGCTTTACTTTGTTGTGGGTTTTGATTTTCTTCTTCTTCTTTTTTTTTTTTTTTTTTTGTACCTGCACGACATGAAGAGGACCTGAACAGTGATCTGACCTGAGCCATGTTCCACTTTAAATAATCAATGCTTAATAAAAGAAGCACAGATACAGACCTACAGCGAGTTTCTGCACAAGTGCTCCGTACCCAGGAGCACCGAGGTCCACCAGGCAGAGCGAGGTGACCTTAAAGAGATCATTCAGTTTTCTTTAGTGCAGATTTGGCTAAAATGTAGTCAAAAAGCCAAACTGGTGAAGAGAATTAATTTCCACAGTCCTACCAACGGCTGATTAATACCATGAATAATGTAGATTAGAGAGTTTTTCTGCAAACGCTCATCACATTTGGTGTTGGCAGTTCTTCTCAGCACATCATAAATAATTATCTAACTGTTGTTTCAGCAGAAAACTGCAGAGCCGGTACAATACAGGACACAACATAACATAAACAGTAAGGACATTTGTGTTTGGTTGATGATTTTTCTGGTTGTATAAATGGTTATTGGCAAAAAATATATATTATTTCATTTTTAAAAAATCTTAATTTTCCTTAAATGGTGCCACATTTCATAGGAAAATACATTTTGAGTTGAGCAGGAGAGTAGAGTTTGTGAGTTGTGCCCATCAAAAAAAAAGCCAAATCTTCTGAGTCTTGTTTGGTGTCGGTGGATTAAATGATTCAAGTGTGAAGAAACAAGACATTTAACAGTCAACGGGCATTGTCTTAGTAGCATGCAGAAGAACCATACACAGCCACAACAGCCTGATTTCAACCGAGAGGTTAACGCAATTTATTAGTGTGCCCGTAAATTGTTCTGGTTGTAACTTGTAGCTACTCCCACGTCTGAATTTGGCTCATTGTGTGTTAGATTGACTGTCGCAGACATTTTTGTGTTTGTGTACATCATTTAGCTGCTGAAAGCTGCTGAAGGAGTTGAAATCAGGTTCCTCGCTGAACTGTTGATGTGAGTTGAACAACTGACAGGAAAACGAGAGCGGGAAGAAGCAGAACAATGACAGAAATGTGCAGAAAAAGCTGAATGTAGTAGAAATTATCAGAATAAGCTGAAATAAGCTGAACAGAAATTGGCCAAAAAAAACAAGAATAAATTGAAATGAGCAGAGAAAAGTTAATTAGTCAATTAAATGAATAAAGAAAACTTGCGACCTGTCTGGGGTGTCCCCCACCCCTCGCACAGTAAAGATAATTGATGGATGGATGAAATTAGTAAAGAAAAGTAGCTGAACAGGCTAAAGAAGCTAAAATTAACAGAAATGGGCTGAAAGGAGTATAAAATGTTGAAATTGTTCAAAGAAAGCAAAAAAGTCAGAAATTAGCAAGAAAAAATAGCAGAAAAGGCTAATATTAGCAGAAAAGGCTAATATTAGCAGAAAAATAGTCAAGTCAGATTTATTTATAGAGCACATTTAAAGCAGAAACTGTTACCAAAGTACTTAACAAAAATATCACAACATTACAGCACATGGAATAAAAATATAAAAACAGAAAACATAATTAGAAACAATGAAATACTAAATCAGATCACCAAAATACATAAGAAAGTAGCTGAAAAAAGATTAAAATGAGCAGTGATCAGTTTTAAACGGCACAAAGAGATTGAAGGACGTGAAGAGAGGTCCGTTCATTTTCGATTAGAGAAACATGGCCGACGGAGCTGAACACTTCACAGCAGGAATGTCCTGAATGAGCCGAAGGTACCGTATTTTCAGCCGTACACGTCGCACCGCCCTATAAGTCGCATCAGTCCAAAAATGCCTAATAGAGTGGAAAAATCCATAAATGTGTCGCTTCGCCGTATACGTCACATCTATTATGCATCACCGCTGACAACCAGGAAATGCGGGCCGGTGTTGTGCCAAAAATTGATGGGCTGTCAAATGGCAGCCACGGAAGCGTGCATGGGAGGACTTTAACAAGAATTTAACCAGATTAACGCTTAAAAACAATTATTTGTTTGTTTGAAATTATAGTAAAGGTGTGTCTCAGTCTAACTTTTCCTTAATAAATGCACTTCAATGGTCAAATCAGCTTCATTTCTCTGGCGCAGCGCAGTGAAATGAAGCTGATTGTTTGTTCCAGGTAGACGACGGTGGCAGTCGATGGCAAGCTGATTATGTCATTAATAGCCACTTTTACCTATTACAAGATATATGCATGCCATACTAATTGAGTGCCATATAGTGGCTGGAAATGGTAGTGTTGATTTTTTTTTTTTCAGTCAGAATCAGTCAAAGTCACTTTATTGTCAAAAGCTGCAATATGTACAGGACATACACAGGATTGAAATTACATTTCTCTCAGACCCCGGTGCAACAATAACCATTTAACATTAAAACATTTATTAAACATAAGCATAAAATGAAATAATAAAAGTATGATACTGTCTTAAATTGTACTATACGGTATAAAAATATTTAAAAAAGTATATCTATAAAATAAAATGAAATGAAATGAAGGTCCTGACATTGATATTTGTAGTGAGTGGCAAAGCAGCATATGAAGTGAATGTACACAGTGTATGTATGAAGTCCTTGATATTGGTGTAGGTAAAGTGACTTATGCAATAAGACTAGTAAAAAAAATATATTTATATATCAGCGGTAGTTTAATATAAGCAGCAGAGTGAGTATAAACAGTAGTGTGAATGTAAACAGTCATATCTCAGCCAAACATTGGTTTATAAATATTCAAAATAAATTCAAATTCAAAATATGGGGGGAAATTCATAAATACATCGCTTTGGCGTATAAGTTTCAGGGCATGCAAATTATGTAAAAAAAAACTGTGACTTTTAGGCTGAAAAATCCAGTAAATGAATTGTTGAAATAGCACAAAACCTGCGGAACGAGTTAAGTGCAGAAGAAAAACAAATGTCGATAAAGTGAACGCTTTAGAAACATTCACACTAACGTGCTGTGAGTAAGTCCAATATTTAGAACTTGTTCATTAAAAGCTGCAGTGGGAAAGTCGTAACGCGGTGGAACAGTCCGGCTTTATGTGTTGATAAATGCTTCATTCTGTTTGTGTTACCTGAACAGCTGCTGGTTCTCCACAGGTGGAGCGTTAAAGTCTGGACTCCGGCGGTCCTTCTTGGTCTTTGTAGGGGGAAAGCGATGACTGAATAAAAACAATAGACACTAATTAAGAGCCAACGGGACAGCAGTGACACCTCGAGGCGATGACCGGTTCGGTTTGTGCTTCGTTGACCTGCTTGGATCGCAGCAGAACCAACCCGCTCCCTCTCACGAGGCAAAACAAAAATCTGTGGAGGGGTTCTTTGTATGTGGGTTCATCTCACTGCCTGAAGTCTTACAGATCAAAATCCGCAGCTTTAATCACCTCGTAGCTCAAAAAAATACTTTTTAATTTTTCAGTTCCAGAAGAGGCCGTGAATCAAAATGAGTCAGGAACCGTTTCATTTGATGACGCACTCACGGAGCGTTTCCACACCGAAGCGACTGAGCCCTTCAAGTTTCTGCAAAATAATAAAATTGTTTTTTTCTTGTTCTCCTCTTTACAGTTCGGCGAGAATCGGCGGGTGCTGCAGGCCCTGCGGACGCTGCTGGAGGAGTTTCGGGAGGAGCTGCGGGAGGAGGAGACGAGGCGATGCCAACTGCAGCAGGCGTACGCCAGCGACAACGCTGCCTGGGAGGTCAAGTGGGCAGAGATGAAGTGCCAGGTCGCTCAGGTACAGATGGCGCCTCAGCGCCTGCCTTTAAAAGGACAGAACCAAGCTGGTCGGAAAAATCTGTGGCGCTTTTTAGTGCAGGCTAACAAGACGGTAAACATGTTGCCTCGTCCAGGCGTGACGCCTCACTCAGGGCAACAAACAAACATTAGCTGCCTTCATCAAAAGGACCCTCAGATCTGGTCTGACAACAAAACGAGCAACAATTAATTCAAAATTGTCACCAGTAACTACAACACTAATTGTGAAATCATTGGGACATATGCATTAATTTAACAGCATTCTGTAAACATGGAGGAACTGAGGAGCTGCTGGAGGTTTTATCAGCTGATGTTCTGCACAGTGACAGGTTCAGCCTCGTCTTGCTGAAATATGAAAGGTCTTCCCTGAAAAGAAGTCAACTGGAAGGGAGCATACGTTGTTGTTTGACAACCTGTGTACACTTTTCTGCATTTATGGTACTCTTCCAAAGTGAAAGCTGCCCATGCCAGCGGCGATAATGCACCCCCATACCATCAGAGAGGCCGGCTTTTGACTTCTGTGCTGACAACAGGTCCCGTGGTCTCTCTCCTCTTTATTACGGAGTAAAATAATTTCAAATGTTGATTTGTCTGACCCAAGAGCAGTTTACCAGTTTGTCTCGGCCCATTTTAAACGAGCTTTGGTCCAGAGAGGACAGCTGTGTTTCTGGAGGGTGCTCACGTATGGCTTCTTGTTTGCGGGATAGAGCTTTAAGCAGCATTTGTGTAAGACACGGTGAACTGTGTTTAGAGAAGGTGACTTGTGGAAGTGTTCCCGAGCCCAAGCAGTGACGTCCAGAACTGAATCAGACCTGTTGTTAATGCAGCGGCCCCCCAGGGCCCGAAGATCACAGGCCTCCAATATCATCTTGTCCTTTGAGCTCCAAGATTTCTCCAGATTTTTCAAACCTTCTGATGATTTTATGAACTGTAGCTGATGAGCTATTCAAAGTCTTTCCAATTTTTCCTTGAGGGAAATGAGCCTACTTTTTTTTTTCTTGTATTTTCAGGCAGTTTTCCACAGACTGGTGAACCTCGGCCCATCTTTACTTCTAACAGATTCAGCCGCTCAGAGGTCTGTTGCCAGTTAAATTAGTGGAAAACTGCTCCTCCAGTTGTTTCTCCTCAGTTTTACAGTTTTATGTTGCTCCTGTCACAACTTTTTGAGACGTTGCTGAAAAAATAAATTAAATATTTAATTTATTTTCCTCTAAATAAATGTGTTACAGACTCTTAGTTTACCATCTGATGCATTTACAATGTTTAGTTGTGAATAAAATAGGAGTTCTTGCACAACGGCCCAACACTTATAACGGAAGGACATCAGCCTGGAAATTAAAAAAGCTCCCATCACGCTGTTTATCTTCACATAAGTTGGCACCTCATGGAGATTTGTTGTGTTACAAAACATACTCCAAGCCCCAATAGACTGACTAAAGTCGTGAGTTGATCGTGCGTAAAGTTTATTTTCAAAATTTGATCAAAACGGTTATTAAAAAATAATGAAAGGCCATATGCAATATTTCAAGTGATGCTAGGCCTCAAATATTCAAAACTGTGTTTCCTGAAGTATCCATAACACTTTAGGACACCAGATTTTATCCATAACGGTCAGATTCATTCAGTTATTAAAATGTTCAGAAGGTTCATGAGCCACTACAAAGAGAAACGTTGAGTCAGTGTGATGTCAGTGTGGGATTGTGGGTATCACAGCAGGAGCCTCTTCGTCAGCTCTGATTTCTTTCCTTTCGAGAGTCGGGGGACAGTCAGTCCTGATGGACGTAGTTCCAAACCAAAGCTTCCAATCAGCTGGAGGAGCCTGAACACGACCTCCCCCTGACCTCGGAGTTTAAAGATCAGATCTAAAGCTCCTGGTGTCAGAGCATGGTTAAGCTTTATCTGGTTATTACAAAGTAAAGGAACATAGAGCTTCTGGAACCAATTAAGAGATCTGCGTTAGAGGAAGATTATCTTTTTAGCGCTTTTAATCCGTGTGGTTCGGTCCAAGCAGAGGCTGCGGGGAGAACCAACGAGCTCGGTTTTATCTGAAACGTGATGAGGAGTTCTTTACTCTGATTAGAAATGCGTGTTTGATTCTTCCTGATGATCCTGAGAGCGGTGGAGAAATAAAAACTACCCTCAGCTGTTTAGTTGGACATGAAGAGAAGTGGTGATGACTTGGTTTCCTGTTCAGGTTTAACCTTTAGTTGCTTTCTAGTTGTGATATTGCTTAAAAGTGTAGTTTCCTCAAATGACTGAGGTGGTCACAGATTAATTTATGGTGGCCAAGACCACCACTGGCCACCCCCTAGCTCCGCAATTGCATCTGGTGGTGGATAAAATTGATCCCTGTGCTCGGACAAGCAAAAAAAAAAAAAGAAACTACCTCTGTTTTTCTACACAGGTTAACTCCTACCCACTTGAATATCTCGCACCAAAAACACGAAGGTTTACTTCATTCCCTGTTCAGTTACAGTTTAGAAAAACACTCAAAACAAACAAACATTCACTGTTAAAATCCCTCAGGGACGGGGAGCACTGGTGTTCTGCTTGTTTCACTTGATGTGACAGTTTGTAAACCAACAAGATTAAAGGTCATTAAGTCTGAAGACACTCTCTTGGATTTGACTTGAAGATTCTGAAGACCGGATCTTTAGTTGTCCCTATGTCCAGGCTGGTCTACAGAGGTGATAAGGT